AAATGATGTTTGATTAATACTCCTGTTTCTCAGAGGTGCTTAATACAGCATACAAATGCAAAGATTGATTAAGTAAAAATCTCAGAATCACTAAGTGTGCTATAGCCTTGAAAATGTTTAAACGCAGCGCACTCTCTGTAGGGTAGTGATGAGACAAAGCTTCATAATTAATGACTGAAGCGGTGAAGGGTTTATAGCAAACAGCTGATCCACTTGCCAGCAGAGGAGCTGTCATATCTCACAGCAGTCTGGGTGACATGGACGTGATAATTCTGACCTGTGTGTCTGCATCCCCGCAACCCAGCTCATATGAATTTATTTAGCGGCGTTTCTCCCGCCCGGAGAGGCTGCAGTCTCCGTCCCAGGAGCAGGCGGTACCTGAGCTCCTGTCCCCCGGCGCTGGCTGAGTTCCCGTGTGCACGCAGGGAAGCTTGCAACGCCGGCAAAGGTACCGAGCCACATTTTATTGGCAGATCCACAGAAAGCTGAACAACTACCTACTAAAGCGGTAAGAACAACGTCCTGGTTGCATCCCGAGGAAATGGGAATTACTGTAGTTGTGGCCTTAGCTGTGCTGCCTGCACTCTGCTAAGCTGTAACTTTCCAGAAGTGTGCTTCAGTAGCTGAAATAATTGGAGATTGTAGAAGTAAATACGTTTCTAGTCACCGTTGCACTGCTTGTGAAAACAGTGATGCTTTAATTCACACTGCTTCATCAGGGCTGCCTTTCATGCTGCCGTACTAGAGGAGGTGTCAGCATTTCCATTATTGCCAGAAGCAGATGGTGAAAGTGGACAGGTAAAATGTACTCAGGAGTTCTTAGAGCACAGGGGCTTTGCAAGCCTTAGAGGAGCAGTCGGAAGTATATTCAATCTAGAAAATCCCTAAGCCAAATTTAGAGGTGCTGGGTGTCTTGTGTTACCGCATTTGTTAACCTGTGGCGCATATCGGTGTCACCGCGGTTGCAGAGCTTGTGTGTAAGAGGAGAAAGCAAACTTTTCCATTTCCTTACTGAAGAGGGAACTTCTCTGTTAAAGCAAAAGACTAGCTCAGTTATTTACCTGTTCTAAATCAAGACTATGTCAGATAAATGTTGCTTGCAATACAGAAGCAGGTACTCAAATTTCAAAATGAGGAACTTGAATGTTTCATCCCTTCAGCACATCTTCAGGCCAAGGCTGCCGGGCTGGCAAGGGAGAGGGGAAGGCACCTTTGAAAATGTACGATAACATGCCTGCAGGAGGGAGCTCAGATTTTGGCCTCGCAGCCTTCTCTAGCTGACCTCGTCATCTGATTTGTCCATCTTTAGATTCTGCCATATTCATCCTTTTTTTGTTTTATATTCATGATAGAAATACTCTCCCACCCCAAAATCCACTCAGCTTTTAAGGTTGCAGATAAAATACCCTGACTGCAGCCCTGTGTTCCTTGTGACACACGTGCTGTGCTTCCTGATGTTTTTGGTAACTTTGCTGAAGAAGGAGAGGAACAGAAGTTTTAGCAGACTAAATAGCCATAGAATATATGTATTATCCTTAAGGCTGCAAACCCATGTATTATATAATAGGGGGTTCTAAAGTATTTTCTTTTAACTTGCTGTGTAAACTTAACCTTTCTCCTTGGTGATGAGACTCCTGCTGTGCTATGACATCCTGCCTCTCCCTCCTGCCCCAGACTGGTAAGTCATTCCTCCTGCAGAGTAGATTATGCTCGCTTCGTGAATGTTTTCATTTCCCCTTTGGCCCAACATATTCACCAGACACAGATATGTACTTGATACTACTTGAAGCTTGCTGAGGCGGCAGAATTAATAGTTTCCATGTAGGCTTTTCTGTCTCGCTGCATTCAGAGGCCTCACAAGAGCATGATGAGGCAGGAGTTAGCTTGAATTGTGCAGACGAGGACAGCTGGCAGCATGACAGAGGTGACCCCAAACCCCCTCCCTGACGTGAGTGATGTGGAATGGCTCGTGTTCAAGTTTAGAAAAGGCCGTACGTTCATCAGGTCTGTGTCAAGGTTGTGTTGGGGTCCAAGGCTCCATTTGCTGATGTGCTGGTGTTTGGTGACACAGGAAGCAAGGAGGTAGCGGCGAGTGTACCAAGCAACAGTTTTCTTCACTTTGTTTGGCTTTGTGTTACGTTTGGAGTATTTTTGGCATGCGGTTTTGGAGTATTTTTGGCATGCGGTATACGAGTAAAGTAAACCTTTGAACATCGTTTCTTTCCCTTGAAAACCAAATGATGTCTATGCTACTTATGTAGCCTGCATCTGTTTAATTAATCAGCATTGCTTCATGACATCTCGGATCATTGGGAATGATCTCAGCAACATCAGGCTCGTGTAGTGCTCAACAGCAGAAAGTCATGTGTCCAAGTGATCTCAGTTGCTCTTTTTCCTGTTCATAAATTGCTTATATGTTTGCAAGAACGGCTATGAAAGTCCTGAAAACAAGTAATAAGGTATGGTGCTACAGGATGGTAGTCTGTTGCTGCCTGTATTTTTATCTCCTTTTCTGCCTTCCAGAGTGCACTTTTTAATTTCCTCTGTCTTTAATGGGGACTTTACTGCAGAGTGCAATGTATTGAAATGACAAACTTGCACTTGATAAACTACACAAGCAGAAGTGGTTTTCAAGTCCTTCGTAAGGACATAAGGCACCAAAATGAAGCTGCTTGAATTTTTAAATGGCAGAGGCTCTAGTTTTAATTCAGTTGTACAACGTGGTAATTGGGTGAACTGCAATGGAGATTAAGAGGCGTTTCATTCACGGGCGCCTGGGGATCTGCCTTGCCTCTGCCTCTTGACTGACTTGCGTCGTGTTTTACCTAAAAGGTTGCAAAGGGTCCTACATACTGCCAAGGCTCTAAGATTTAGATCACAGCAACTGTGGAAAAAACCCTAGTTTTGAAATAGCATTCTCTTGCTACTAAAGGTCATGAACAAGTACTCTTCAATTGCATCCAAGTACTATGTAAAACCCACGTGTGCAGGTTGAGCTGCGAGACTGCTTTTGCCATGTTTTTTACCATTAAAATAGAAGTAGCTCCCTGAGTAGTGATGCTGGAAGAGGTCTTGTCTTCACAGTTCTCTTGTTCTAAGGGTGTGTCGTCTTAGAGCAAAGGTAATCTGCGGTTGGCAATTTCGTGTGGAGAAAATAGCACAAAACAAGAGACAAAAATGAATTTAAATTCTCAAAAGCCAAAATTAATGTTTATTTTTGTAATGTGATTAGGTGTCTCATAACACATAGACCAAAACAAACCTCTTGAACTGACAAATGGGAACAACTTGACACAAGGTAAAAAGAGAGGCTACGTTTATTGCTGCTTTGAAGACATGGTATTTTTTTTCCCATGCACCGAAAAGCTCACGGTACCTGTATGTCATTTAGCATTTCAGCTCACCTTCCTGTTGCAGCTGGAGACACCTTTATTAGGATTATAAAATAGCCACCAGGTGGGACAAGTGTGATGTGGTTTCACAATTGCCATGCGAAGGCAGCCAGAGCAGTGCTGCGGTGTGGTTCTCTTCTGCTGCGTGGAAGTGGTCGGGTAACTCGGTACTTGAGGGTTTCAGAATGAAGCTTCCTTCTCTGTCATTAAAGAGCTAATGAGATGCTTTTTGTCTTTATAAAATTCTCAGCATTGTGCTTAATCCACTGAGAGATAGCAAAAGTGTGCTGTTAGCCACCCCTACAAAAATAGAGAACTTGGTGTGGTTTAGTTGTTTTCTGGTTGGTTTTGGTGGTTTGTTGTGGTTTTTTTTTAAAAAAAAAAGAAAAGAAATACTTCTCTAAAGATTGCCTCTCTAGTTTAATGAATCATAGAATGGCCTGGGCTGGAAGGGACCTTAGAGATCATTTAATCCAACCTCCCTGTCATGGGCAGGGATGCCACCTCTCGACTAGATCAGACAACACATGGGGTCGAGCGGGGATCGAACCCGCGACCTTGGTGTTATCAGCACCATGCTCAACCAGCTGAGCTAACCAGCCCCCTGCAATGAGTAGTAAGCAGAAAAAGAAAAAAAAAGCTTGGCGTGTGGGTATGCATTTAATATAAATAGAAATGCTTTACAGGTTAATAGAAACTGTGATGCTCTAAAACCTGAAAAGCTATGGGGTGACACAGCATTCATGTTGTTGAGCTAAAAGCATCAGCCGCTCTGGCAGCTGTAGGTCATGGACCCTGGAGCATGTACTGACGGTAACCAAATAATCTGGTTTTTAACAAAGAGGTACCCAGCTGAGAGTTGGAGATACCATAGTTTATTGGAGATCTTTTGCCCCTGGGCAAGAGGCTTTATTCTCATGGACATGGAGTACCTATAGTTTTCATGGTGGCCAGTTGCCTGTTAGTGAAATGAAAAGTGCACGTATGGTGAAAAAAACAAATCTAGTGTCTTGTTTTTTCCTAGTTATCTGAGAGACTGAGAGAACTGGGGCTGTTCAGCCCCGAAAGGAGACGGCTGAGAGGGGACCTTATTAGCGTACAGAAATATCTGAGGGGTGGGCGTCTAGAGGAAGGGGACAATCTCTTCTCAGTGGTGCTCAGTAGTAGAACAAGGAATAATGGGTTTAGGTTAGAACACAGGAAGTTCCGTCTCAATACGAGGAGAAACTTTTTCCCTGTGAGGGTGACAGAGCCCTGGCACAGGCTGCCCAGAGAGGTTGTGGAGTCTCCTTCTCTGGAGACATTCAAAACCCACCTGGACACGTTCCTGTGTGGCTGCCCTAGGGGATCCTGCTCTGGCAGGGGGGTTGGACTAGGTGATCTCTAGAGGTCCCTTCCAACCCCTAATGTTCTATGATTCTATGGTTTTTAAAGAGTTAAGGTAGCACTGTGTTGGCTTCTTTTGTTTGCTTTTTAACCCCTGCAAAAGGACTGCCAAGTCAGAGTAAGGTGCCATTTCTCAGTAATAACCTATTATCAATCAGCTGTTGTTTGCATGCAGAATTCTCTGTGTTTTTTTCCTAAAAAGTGTTTCTTTCTGTGTTTCAGCTTGTTAGTGACTTATTGGAATTCTGTTTCTACACCTTCCGAGAGTCTCAGGCACTGAAAGTAGAGTTTCCAGCCATGCTGGTGGAAATCATCAGTGACCAGCTACCAAAGGTGGAATCTGGGAATGCCAAGCCCCTGTACTTTCACAGGAAGTGATAGAAGATGTCTTAAATGGAAGAACTTTGCCTTAAGTTTCCCTGTGTTATTCCACACCCATGAAGGACCCAAGAAACCATATTTTAAACATGCTATTTACACTTGTTCAGCAGTCTCTGAATAGTCTAAAATCATCCGAAGGGTTTGGGGCATGGAAAGCAGTTGACTCGGATTTGGCAAGACCTAGATGTTTGGAAAGGTACCCCATAACCCTAAAACACTTAGAAAATGTTCCTGTTCCTCTGGATGAAAAGCCATATCTAGTCAATAACTCTTTGATTTTGATATTTTAACAGATGGAGTTTTAAATATGCCATGTAGTTTCTGGTATTGTTTGCTTGTTTTAAAAGGGTTCAAGAACTAACGAGAACTTTTTAAAGCTTACCCTTGGTTTGCACATAAAACGTAAAGTCAATATGGGGCATTAATATTCTTTTCTTGTAAAAAAACAAACAAAAAAACAAACAAAAACTATATATATATACACGCATATATACACACACACACACACAAACCCTAATGTGTAAAGTAATAACAGAACATTTGGTGTGGAATACTCTGTTATCCCCACCTGTGGCATTTGTTATCCCATGTTATCCCACCATAGCTGATATACACTGTGTTAAGTGTTCCATTTACTATTTAATTAAAAAGGATAAGATGAGAAAACAAATGCCCTGGTATCAATTTATAGTACCTATTGTGCTGGCTTTACAAATAATTTTTTGCAGTCTTTTGCTGTACTGTACATTGCTGTATGTATAAATTGTGAAGGACCTGAAATAAGGTGTAAGGAACTTTTGTAAATGAGACAAAAAAAATCTTTAATGGTTAATAGGATGAATGGGAAAGTATTTTTGAAAGAACTCTATTTTGCTGGAGACTATTTAAGTACTATCTTTGTCTAAACAAACAAGGTAATTTTTTTGTAAAGTGAAATGTTCTGCATGCATAATGAACCGTTTACAGTGTATTTAAGAAAGGGAAAGCTGTGCCTTTTTTAGCATCATATCTAATTTACCATCTTACGGTATCTGTTGTAAATAACCACACTTAACCTTTTTGGTTGTATTTAAGCCTTTCTGTTTTCCTCTCTATTTTTCTGCCCTTTCGTCTTGCTTGCAAGCGTCCGTGATTTGAGCGCATCTTAGAAACCCTGCTTCCTATTTCCGTAGGAAACTACATGACGTTGTGTTTGCCACTTTACAAAGGTTTCATTTAACAAGACAAATTACGGTCTCTCCAAAGCTTTTGCCAGCTTAATGATATAGTGAGTTTGTGCCCTCTGTTCCCTTTCTCTCTCAGGGGAGCAGGGGTGAGTAAGATTTTGAATGATTTTTCTTTTTTTTTTTTTTTGTATTAAAGTTTCCCAGATTGATTGTTTTTCCTTTGAGTACTGGAGACATAAAACATCTTAAAAGGTCAGATTATTATTATTTCAGATGGGGGGAGAGCGAGTTCTGGTTCTGATGAAGGGAACATGCAGATCATTACAGTAAGTACATCGAGCAGATTCGGACTGGCGAGAGGGATGGTAAGGTACGGATAAGGGTGGATTAGCCGAGTAGAATTTTTAGTGATAAGCTAAAACCGTACGTAATTTTGTAAGCATTTTTGTAATAATTAGAACACATCTGAGAAGACAAACGTTCGCTACACTGCAAGTTCAACTCGGTCTGATTTTGTCTCAAAAAATTGTTTTCTGTAGAATAAGACTGCAAAGAAAAACTTTTTGAGGTGATTTTCACTATTTCACAATTTGTAAGCAAAAATACAAGATTTTGGAGTAGAATAGAGGACAGGTGAACTTTTCTGAGGCTCAACTGTTGCTGCCATATACTCACGTTTAAATAGAATAGTTTTTCAGAGTCCTCATCTCTAGCGTTCACTCTGGGTGCCAGCTCTGGGTGTTATTTTTGAGCTCTAGTTTGTCCCTTGGCCGGTCAGAATGTAGCATTTCTTTTAACTCGTGGTCGAATTAAGACTTCTGCACCCTTTCGGAGTCCCAATTTCGAGGTGTGCTTTGGTGCACTGAAGACAGTCAGTGCTACTTGTCTTTTTAAATGATGCCTGCCTTATGCAATGGGTTATCTGTAAAGACTGTATTCAGAGAGGGTTTTTTATATATAAATATATACATACATATATTATTTGCATTTTGAAAGTCTAATTCATAGGCAGATCTTTCAATACTGACCTGCACAGCAATATGAAAGCCAAACTTCCAACGAGAGCTACACAGCATGCAGACTGGTTGTTTACAGTAAAGACACAGTCATACATCCATCTCTTTTTTTTTCTTTTTTTTTTCTTTAAAAAAAAAGAAGTCTAAAATAGAAAATTTCAAAGCCAGGTTCTGGGTGAATACAGTCTGCAGCAGCTTTTTATATTAACAAAGTTACTGCCTCCTTTTCTGTCTGAGAGTAACTTTGCTTGATTAAAACAGCAAAGCCATATTCTACACTTCACTGTTAAATGCCTGTCCCAGTCCAAATTGTTGTCTGTTTGCTCCTATTTTTGTACCTTATTACTTTTAATCTTGGTTTGGTACAATTCATAATTCACAGAAACTTCATATAATTAAACACACTAAATTAGTTTTAAAAAGCAATTTATATCTTTATGCAAAAACGTATGTCTGTCTTTGCAAACAACTGTAAGCAGATTATAATAAATCCTTTACTTTAATCACCTGTTGTTTATGAAACCATTCATTGATTATTATTTTTTGCTAGAGATCATTGAAATAATAGATGCAATTGGATATAGATGTCGTAAGAGGCAGTATTCTCTTATCAAGGACACTTAAGCAGAATAGCCATCACTTTTTTTATCTAAACCTGTGTACAGCAAAAAAAAAAAAAAGGAAAGAAAGCAAACAAAACCCAGCAATGCTAGTTTTTAGCTACCGGGAAGTTATGTTCTTTTGAATTTGTTTAGAGTGAAATAGGCATTTGTCTCCTGCAAAATACAAGACTAACTAAAAGAACTTTTGGAAGTGGGCTTCTGTTCATTGAGCTAAATCATTTTGTTGTAAGACGGAGCAGAGATACACAGCAAGAGCATTGTATACACAGTTAAACATGTAAAATAGTGTTAATGTACTGCAGTGGGTATTTCAGGAATACTACACATCGTGCGACTCAACAGTTGCGCAGAATAAATAGAAGAGACTAAAGTTTGCAATATCAAAATCTTATTAAAAGGATACTTTACAATCAATAATGCAAAAAGCTAATTCACAGGGTGGTGTTTTTCACTGACTTGTTTAAACATTTATGAAATTAAACAATTCTACAGTTAATGCACTTTTAATTGTTTATTAAAGATTTGACTTTTTCTTTTTTTAGAGCAATGTTTTCAGCTGGAGGTCAATGACTTGATAAGATAGAGAGCAGTTCTGAGGCCAGGAAGCTCAGAGGAATGTTTAAGAATTCTTGGAGTTTAAATAGATTCCTGGATGACAAATAAAGGCAGCCAGCAGTACGGTGTAAACAGTAAAATCTATGCATAATGATGCATTTATAATTAGGGGTTTGCTTCTGTATGTTTAAAGCTTTTTAAATAAATAGAAAATATTGTTTGGTCTTTATGTTAATGTCTGCAAGTACCTATTATTTTTTTTTCTTTTTTTATACAAATTGTACAAATATACATGAATTAAACTGGTTTGATTGCAAGTATTTCTTGCATTTTAATCTCAGATAGGTCCTGGTGCAGCAATGTCCTTGGAGACAAACTTCTGCTCATCTAGAAACTGTATTAAGTAACACAAGGTAACTACAGATGTAACAACATCATTCTTTTTACATGTAGAAATTTGGTTTCATCAAGCTCTACTAGTTTGGATGATGCAGCGCATACGGTGGCTTTGGCCACAGAGCAGCCACTCACGCTATAAGGAATTTGGGTCACTTAACCTGGATCTAACTGGGCTTGGCACCGTCACACACAGAGACATGGACAGACTCACACACATAGACACATACACACAGACATGGCCATACAGCCATGGACACACAGACACACGCTCCATCCCACTCAAAGAAAGAAACCTCACAACCTCCAAGCAGCCAGAGGCATCTGGCTTCCAGTTTCTGTTACCCTGTAGCTGCTCTGTCTGTTGACCAAAGTCACAAATTCCCCTCATGGAAGCAGGGGTTTGCTGCTCTATACACATAACGAGTTACACAAACTTTTCATTGCCAAAAATCCTTGCACTTGCCTTCTGTTTGCTGAATTGTCAGAAGGAAAGAATAATAGAGGCTCAGCAGTGTTAAGAAAAATTTGCCATATGTTTACCAGCAGATGTATCTGTCATATGCTGTTCTAGAAATAAATAAGAAAACTCTATCACTGCTTAAAAACATAACAACACTTGTAATCTGACCTCAAGCTGGGACACTGTTTCCTTTCAGGTATCTACAGACACTGGGAGCTTATGATGAGTACAAGTATTACTAAAGACAGAAAAGGGGGGGAAAAAAAAAGGCCCTTTAATTTCCAAGATGTTGCTAGGTAAAGCACGTCATGCCATAAGGATTTTAAACACTTCAGTTGTAGATAGGATGAAGTTAGTTTGGTGCTTACCTGTGGTTACCACCAGCACAGAGGAGGGCACACGGTTGAACACTGATGTAGAAAACGATGTCCAAGGCACATTCAGCTTAGAAGGTGAAACTCCAGCAAAGCTTTCCAGTTAAACGCTGCATTCAGTGCTGGCACATTTACACCCCACATAAAAACCCTCTGTCAGCAGCTTTTCTCTTTAAATTGCAAACTAGGTAAGAGTTGTGCAGTGGGCTAAGAGGAAGAGAACAAGGCAGGGAGAACTGAGAAAGACAAGTGTCTCTAATTTTCATCCCATGTCATGCATTCACTACCACGAGCTTGAGCTTTTGAAAACTGACACGTCTGTGCCTCCACCTGCAGCAAGGTGGGGGGAACCCACTCTGAAGATTAAGCCGAATCTACACCCACAGCTATGACACGAGAACAGTCCCCCCGTGAGAGGACGGAGTCAGGCCGGACCCATGGAGCATGTTGGCTCCTGCTGCCAGGCCAGAAGAGAAGAGCCCCTTGACCGGGTTTCTCCACAACCGATTCCCTGTTCTCCCTTCCTGCCTCAAGTTGCTCTGCGTGTTGCTCTGCCAAAGCGTACCACACCATGACAAGAGGCATGCCCTAAGGCCCAGCTTGCTGAAAGAAAACGATCTCAAAGAATGGGAAAGGGGCCTGACTTACTTGGTACAACATTTAATTTTTAGCATCCTTTCATCTCCCACTTCCAAACAGGGTGTCGTGCACAGCTGTTCAGCAGTGAGGATACGGAACGAAATGTGCCCTGGCTACTCGGCTGTACAAGTCTGTACTCGGACTTGGTACGACCGAGCTGATGCGGAAACCCATATGCTGGGTAGCAGCTACCACAACTAAATTCC